TCTCGGGAGCGGATACAGGGTTGTGCATGTGCTTTTTTTTTGTTAAAGTGGAGACGGCAGGTCTTTTAAAAAATTTGCGAAAATCCTCCACTACACCTTGTAGTATGGGTTTAGGTCAAAAATATTAATCATTCTGTTTGGTTTAAATTATGTTCCTTTATTCGTAGTGGCAAATAAGGAATGTATCCTTCACAAGGTGGCAAAGCTATCCAAAAGAAGTTTAAATTTTAGAAGTTTTGATTCCTTTAAAAAGGATTTCCATATATTTTTTATAGTCAAACCTATCATATAATCACTTATAAGTTTTTTTTTTTGCATTTTTCTCCTAGTATCTTCAATTTAATTTAGTTTGATGATGAGCTCAAAGGCCTTTTTGTTATCCAGACAATATTTTACTGCCTCTTCAGTTTTTCGATAAGATTCAAGTCTGTGCTCTTGCTTGGCTACATTATTGTGACTTCCTAGTTTCCCCACATTCATTGCTGTGGATTTGCCATAAGAGAATTTAAAGCAGGAAATACCAATGCAAAAGCCTCATTGGGACTCTACTTGACTTAATCCAATGTGTCCTGGGACTTTTCTGTAATATAAAGGTCTGACAGACCACCTAAATTTAAAAAAATCTTTAGGTACTGTAGTGCCAGGATCAGGCCATTTGAACAGAGTCATTCAGTAAATTACAATATTTAATAAGGTTAATTTATTTCAGTTGGTGAGTTCACTATGAAAGCCACAGTCTGATGTTTTTAAGCCTTTTTAATCACTACTATGATTTTATGAGGTAAACACTCCAAACACTAACTAGCTTTAAGACCATCAAAAACACAACATTTAAGACCAACTGAAAAAGAGAACTTAGAAATGACAGCTGAAATGTTATTGATGTAAATTATTATATACTTGGCCTGTCTGAAATTAAGTCCAAGTAAGTGGTGAATTTCTCATGCAGCTATTGAAATGCATAATGTTTTTGTTAAACTAAACCATCAACATCATATATAGAGATGATGAATAAAGTTGGAAAAAGTTCAAGATTGAGCTGATAATTTTACTACAGTAATAGGCTACAAAATGCAGCATGATTCATAAAAAAAATCTTCAGGCTTTTGACTCTGAGGTTAAACAGTGCTGTTAGGTCTGAGTTTTTGTGTCACTTTTTTCAACTACATGCTGCAACAAAGCCTATAATTAGCATTTTACATGCTGCAGCTAATTTAAAATCATAATTATAAAAATCATAAAAAGTTATATAACATTATTTTCTTCTCTGTATCACAGTTGCAACTAATGGTACAGACAAAGCAATTTCCTGTACCTAAAGATAATTGTCTGTAATCATAGGTAAAAAAAATCCAAATGCAAGAGAAGTGTTTCTGGTGAAAGCCTTGTCATATGATGATCAGGAAAACACGGACAAAAAAGCTTTTTGTGGTGAGAGTGCAAAAAGGTCATAACTTTCTTCACACTGAAGTAATGTTCTCCAAAATGTCCGCAACCCCAGCAAAGATAGAACAGTAATAAAGACCCCCAAAAATCACAGGGTAGTCTTAGTCTAGTGTAAATGGGCTCTTAACTAATTGAGTTTCATGTGCTAAAATAACTGCATTCATATAGAGTTTCTTGAAATTGTGTATTGCTGTAGCAGGAAATATCTACACATAAGATACCGGAACTTCTCAAGACGGGGGTCTGTTTTTCTCCCATCCTGCGACCTCAGATGTCAGCCCTGAACGACAGCAAAGCAGAAAGAACAACTTCAACATCGACTTCTCTCACTCATGTCGGGAACAAGCTGGCTACAGAAAACTCAGTAGCTGAATTTCAACTGTCTAACAGTGTCGTGTATGCTGTCATCAACAGCAAAACTGGACACCAGCCAATCCACTAAACAGGATCAAAAAGAAAATTATAGTTTTAACAAATTGACTTAAATGTTCTGAAATTTTCACATAGTTGAGTTAAACAAGAAACATACTTGTGGAAAGTTATCATGGAACAGGTTTTAGTTAAGTGACACAGCACAAAGAGGACTGTGGTCTTAAGGTTTTTAGCTTCAAAGTGGTATTCTGCTTTATTGGAATTTTCATTATGTAATTTAAAACTTTGAAAGCATTATGTTCTTAAATCTGTTTATTTTTCACATCGCTTTTACGTGAGATCAATAAATAATGGAAATGTTATGCAAGTTCAAGAACCGACATCAAGAGAGAACACAAAATACCTTTCAATCAGATATTTCCTGTACATCATATGCAGAGTTTGTCAGAGTAGCTGCAGGTGAACTGTCCTGACTTCTAAACCACAGCTGAACGCGTTGGCTCAAAATTACAGGAAGTTAAACGACTTTTGTGTTTTTTGTTTTTATGTGTGGTGAGAGAAACATTATTCAGTCTAAACATAAAGACAGTTAGAACAAAAACAATTGGTATGGCACTGAAACATAAAAAAAAAGGTTAATCTTCAGTGTTGTGAAATAAGACCAGTCACATTTTATTGCAAAAACATTTGGATAAATTCCTTACTGGTACTTCTTTTTATTATTATCTTATTTTTTCCCCCACAGGATTTTTTTTAAATTTTGTTCAAGTTTTTCTTTTAAATGGAAGTAACATAAAAATTCTTGAAGGAACTAAGTCATAAATCATGATTACTCAAATCTAAAAGAAAAAAAAAAAAAAGTAGAAGTTAAAAGCTCTAGTGATGGGATGAGGGCTCTCCAACATTAAAGTAAATTGTTAAAGTAAAATGAAATGTTTCTTTAATATGTATCTATATCTCTATATATCTTTATATATGTTTTCCTTCTTTTTATTACAAATGGTGGCTATGGATAATTAATCCAGTCAGATGGGGGATCTAAAGTTGGATTAGGTCTCTGAAAATAGCATAGATGTTAAAAAGATGCAACTATCTGCAATCTGTAAATACTTTGCATTTAATATTGCAATAAAGTGTCATTTAATATTGATTTAGGCTAGTTAAAGTTGTTTAGATTGTTTTTGTAACCCAAAATGCAATTTCTTTGATTTGATTCCAGTGACTACTAATAAATATTGTGCTCTCACACATACTTTATATGAATGACAGCAAAAATCTGCAACCCTAAAGCTGTATGCAGTAAAGCTGGTGGATGAGTGATATTACATGGGGACAGAAAAAGTGGCAATGTTTAAGGGGTGGAAAAAGAAATAGATATTTCAGGCAAGTCAAAGATGGAGAAACGTTATGACTACAGGAAAGCTGCAGGGATAAACCTTTTAACAGCAGTCTATCGGTATATCTGCCATTATGACTTTAATGCATGGAGACTTTTAATGGATAAGGAGAAACAATAGAGGTAGGGCTGTGAAGCTCTTATCCAGAGTGACTGAAACTGTTCATATTTTAGTGATAGCTCTATACCAGAGATTCCAAGCTACAGATACAACAATGAAAAGGTTTAGACATGTACAGAGATAAGAAATTAATTTAGATGGTTTACTGTGATGTATCCTGAAGGGAGGAATTTCTTAAGACAGAGAAATTCTTTGAACAGGATGGAATCAGTTTTTCCTAAATCATTACCTTTTTTATTATAATCTGCTGCAAACAAATAGATTTTGTAAGTAAAGTTATGACTTTACTCAAGATGTAATAAAATTAGCTCCTCATATGATAGCCCTCCATCATTAAGAGCCCTAATCATTACTTGTCTTGCTGAAATATCATTTTCATTTTATCATAGCAATAATAATGTCCCTTTACAATACAGAAGCTCTAAAAATGTACACTGCAAAAACAATCTGAAATTAAGTAAACATTTCTTAAATCAAGTGTATTTACCCTTAATTTGAGCAGGTAAATAAGATAGTTTGCCAATGGAATTAGTATTTTTACACTTAAAATAAGTTAATTAGATAACATGCACTTGAAATAAGACAATGCAATTGATTTTTCTTATTTTAAATGTAAATTGTCTTGTTCCATTGGCAAAGTGTCTTATTTATCTCCTCAATTCAGGATAAAATGCACTTATTTTAAGAAAAAATGACTTATTTAGATTTACATTTTTTGCAGTGATGGATAAAAATACAAAAATATGCTGAGGATTTCCATGATCTTTCTATATTCGCAGTGGAATGCTTCCCAAACAGTTGAAGGTGAAAAGCTGAAACAGAACAGCATATTAATCCCTCCTTGGGAGGAATAGTTTTGTCTCTCTGTGGGGAAATTAATTCTTTCTGCAACTGTGTCTCCAGTTGCAACACACACACAACCTCTGTGAATAATTTTTTTTTTCTTTTGGCATTTTTTGTTACCAGTAGACCAAGTTCTCACCGCCACATACTAAAAGCAGGATCACTTGTGTGATCATAGAGGTTGCTTTTGATGTTCCTTTAGCTTTTCGCAGCCACAAAACCAACACTACCTATACACCACCTGGAGAGGAAAGAAGGTGGGTATAAATTGCAGATACACTCCTCAAACAATATGATATATATACTTATACACATCCATGTAAAAATTCTTCTTGCACATACATACAATCATTATATTTCTGAGACGTGTGATGTGAGGCGAATTCCTCTGAGTAGTTCAACAACACAGATCATTCCCGAAATGGTTGAAATAATGTTTCAGAGATGGTGGCGTAACACAAATTCCTAACTCAACTAACCGGCCTCCTGGCTAATGTAATCAAGAACTTCCTTCATTTCTACTGCTCAGTTTTGAGAAACGCAGAGTTAGATATGTCACACATTTTCTGCAGGCAAAACAAGCATTATAAATGCTACAAAGTACATTTTTGGAATACATTAAGGTTTTGTTTTATTATTTCCTAAGATCCACTCCCACTTCTCTTGCATAAAGGAGAGAAAATTCTCAAAAAAAAACAAAAAAACAAAATAGAGCATCTGGCAGGCAGCTTTGGTATAACAAGGTCGAATTGGATTTTTCCCTGAATCCAATTTAAGACATACAGCAAGAGCTGAAAACGGAATCACAGAGAAACACCAAGGTTACTTTTTCAGTCCTTTAATTATTCTATTACATTTACTTTACAAGTGTTGGTTTTCATAATGAGTCTTTACTGAAGTACAACTGAAATATAGTACTTCTGTGTGATTGAAAGTTAAGAAAGTGAGACTAAATGCAAACCAGACGCTTCAGTAAGCAGTGTATCAAGTCATGGCTTTGATGTTTAAAAGCCATAATATGAAAGCAATACAAAATAAAAATGTACTAGAAGCTTCATTATAAATGTTTATGTCTGATTTTTAAATAACAGGGTGGCCCTTTGAGATATTTAACCTCCAATCCTGATGTATTTTTTTAAGGCTTTGAGACACAAAGGACTCGACTGCACAGTTAGAAGCAAGAAAACATTCCTTTCAGGGGCAGCTCAATTGATGCAAGCCATCTGACCGAGGAATTTAACCTTTAACAAAAACATATGCGCAAGCAAAAAAAAAAAAAAAAAAAAACATGTTGCAAAAAGGCAAGAGTTATGCAAAATATTTGGAATAAAGTGCAGAACCACAGAATAATGACTGAAACTCAGTCAGACTGAAAATATTCTGTGGAGAGCATGTCTTTCCAATGATTTTCAGTTTGATTTTTAATCCTGGTACAGTTGAAATATCAGCAGCATTCCTGTCCCTGCTGAAGGAATTCATCACAGCAAACTGAAGCTCTGCCACCAGGTTTTATTGAGGGGATGGATTTCCAAATCAGTGTGCAGTTTTTCTATTATCTCCCTTGGTGCTTGATTTCTTCTCATCTACCAAAGCCCCTTTCTCCATATTTATGATCACTATGATGATTTAGAGAAATATTCTCTAAGTATAATTTCTAATTGTTACTCTTCTAATATGGTCAGACCCATGGAGTATAACCGCCATGTCATACTGACATAATCTCCTACCTAAGCTGTGGATCATTGCAGCTCTTCCACCTCTATGGAGTAGTGCTTTCCCCTTAATATTGCATACTGATGTATGATTTATGACCTATAGCTGCTTTATTATTCTCCACCTCTATTACTAATCTGTCTGCTGGATTCCTTGACCGTTATGCTCTTTGTTCACAAATAAACCTCTAAAGAGTTCACAGCTTTACTGTATACTGAGATTAAATACCAAATACTGTAGACATGACTAATACTAAGATGACTTCTTATGGCTGTAGTGTCACTGGGATTAATTTCAAGGTTGAAGGGTGAAGGGAGTGAGATATAAGCGCAAGTCCACACTTTCTTCGGTTTTATTTGTGAAGATGCTAAAAACTGTTTACAACTTCCCTTTCACTTTGCAATACGTTGTGTTGGCATGTAAAACAACTTCCCAACTTTATATTTAAGTTGTTTGTTCAGATGGTGTTCTAAAAAGGCATCTGTTTCACCTGGGAGATCAGAGGAGGGAGAACAGCTTGTCTAATAGACTGTATAACCTTTACTCACAGACAAGACTTGCTTTTCTCTTGTATTATTAAAACTACATAAATATTCTCCAAAAAATATTCATATGGTTCTCTGCTGCGTTTTTCCTAAGTTTTTAATACATTTTAGTGAGTAAGAAAAACAAATATTAGAAAACATATTTATGGTTCATGGAAAAAAACAGAAGCAAAAGTTTTCTCAATACATGTGGTTCTGCAAAAATGACTCCACTTCTCTCAGCTGCTGGAAGGCTCTGCTGTTGTTGAATAGGCTGACATCCACTTAATCAGTGAATGGAGCTGAGATGATAGAAAAAGAAGTCTAAGGAAGAGTCATCACGAAGCTGAATGTCACCCAGTTGGTAATGATAAATAGGATTGTGTTGTACAGCCCACAAGGAAATTTGACACCGTCTTCCGTTTTCATCAACGCACTAATGAAGATGGTGATGATGATACGGCAGGTAAAAGGTCTCATTGGGACGGTCCTGCGAAGCACGGCCTCTTCATTCAGCTCTGTGCGTGTGTGCAAAATTAAACATCTGCAAAGAAGAGTGTAAAGAGAGTTTATGTTTTTATCTCCTTTTTTTAAGGAAAATTGCAACTTTCAATCTGAACTTAAGTTCAGCACACATGATTTTGAAAAAATCTGTCTCAACTCCCACCCCTTCTAAAAAAACAAAATACTATTTGAACAACACAAAGCTTTTTTTTTTTTTTTTACAGCCATATTGAAGGCGGCATGTTTAATCATGCTTGAATAACAAGAACCAGAATCCGCAACAAAATCCTGAGGATTTTCAGGTGCAGCGAGAGAAAGAGACACTCGGTTTGGTTAAACAAATCCATCCATCCATCCATCCATCCATCCATCCATCCATCCATCCATCCATCCATCCATCCATCCATCCATCCATCCATCCATCCATCCATCCATCCATCCATCCATCCATCCATCCATCCATCCATCCATCCATCCATCCATCCATCCATCCATCATGTTTATCCCTGCTGGGCTTGCGAGGGGTGCTGGTGCCTATCTGAAGCTGTCAATGGGCGGGACACCCTGGTCAGATCGCCCGTCTATCGCAGGGTGCTTGGTTATACCTCTAAACAGCGATGTCCTGTAAAGAAGGGCCAGAGCCCCCTCCACCTCCTGAGGAGGCTGAGGTCCTTTGGAGTGAGCAGGCTCCTGCTTTAAACCTTCTATGACTCTGTGGTGACATCAGCCCTCCTCTACACTTTTGTCTGCTGGGCCCCCGGCAGCGCAGAGCGGGACAGAAAGAGATTGAACAAACTGGTGAGAAAGGCCGCTTTTGTCCCAGGCTGGACTCTGGACTCAGTGGAGGATGTGGCTGACAGGAGGGTGCTGCCCAACCTTGCATCCATCATAGACAACACCTCTTACCCCCTGTACCAGACTGTAGAGGAGCTGAGCAGCTCCTTTAATTTAAGACTTTTACACCCTGTTTGTAAAAAGGAGCGCTACCGCAGGTCCTTCATGCCTGCTGCAACCAGACTCTACAATGCAACACTACAACGGCAATAACTTGTGCAATGTATAATGTGCAATTACTATTTTCATGGCCTGTGCAGTAACTTGTTTCTATATAGTTGATACCCAGTGCAACAACTATATACAGTATGTAAATATAAATATCCATCTATATAAATACCCATGTAAACACTATTTGCAATAACCCTGTATAATGATCCTACTATGAAAAAATTAAATAAAAAAAGCTGTCAATGTGGACGCACTGTATATGTATATATCCCATGTGCCTTTTTCTTCCTTTGGCACATTCCTTTCTTTGGCTTTTTGAGCTGATGTAACGTGTAAATTTCTCCAGTGTGAGATCGATAAAGTCAATCAATCAATCAATCAATCAATCAATCAATCAATCAATCAATCAAGGAAAGCTTAAATGTCTCTAAAGGTGAATTCACAGACTAAACTCTGATAATCTACCTGTGTGTTTTCACTTTATTTCATGTACCTGCTTCTCAATATAGATCTTACTCACAATTTAAGTAGCAAAATAGAAACTCAAGAGATTTAATAAAACATTTTTTTAATTTTTTTATCAAGCGCCGGCCTTAAAAAAAATTATTTTCCTGATTGTTATACCGTAGGTAGACATCGTCAGGGCAACATACCTCAGCTCCTTTTTTCCCCCCAACATCACCAGTTTCCCAGTTCCTTCCTGAATATGGGCTAAAACTGCATCTATCTGAACCATACTATCTAATGAAAAGTATAAAAGCTTTGTGCTGCTTTAGCATAGCCCAGCAATCACTTCTACCTTCCATTTTTGGTGCTGTTTGTTTGAAGTAGAGGCCACAGACTAGCTGAGTATAACATGCATAGAAGGTAAACTTTTCAATAATGCATCTAAAAATAAAGCAGATAAAGGGACTTCTTCTAATCAAGTAGATTCTCCTGTGAATTAATTGTTTATTTATATAAATGTACAGTATTCACATGTCTTTATATGGGATCAATGTAATTGAGAAATTTCCAGACATTACGCTATTTATTTTGTGCACCCCCTAGTGGCAGCTCACAGACCCCTGGGGAAGCACGCGCCACACTTTGGGAATCCCTGTTCTACACAGTTTACAAATAATCTGAATCTGAATCACTGAAATATAAGATTCTTGCGATTTTGCTGAAGTCCTAGTCCAATATGAGACTGTTGGGTTCAATTACAGCACAAGTATATTTATTAACAATAAACTGTGGTATTCCTCTGATTCACACAAATATGATAAAAAATGAAAGGATTTACAAGTTTCTATCTAAATTAAGCATAATCAATAGCAATCAGTTGAGAATTAATATGAGTCTTGCATCAGTCATGAATGAATTGATTAATATTCCTGACAGTTACTGGTATTCTAATTCAAAATGTAAAAAAAAAAAGGATAACTCTGCTTGTGCTTCTGTTAGCCTTCCAGAAAGGATGGTTTACATACAGCAGCTGTTGTACTGACTCTGAAACTGGATTATTCACACAGCGAGCAAACTGTTTTTAAAAGAAAGAGAATCGCCTCCGGATGGCTTTAATTAAGGCTCACACCAGCTGGAAGGCTCAAATATGATCACTATAAATGAGTAATGCAGGAGCTAAGGGAAGATTTGTAAAGGTTTCCATCCCATATATTTGATGAGCAAGATTAGCCCAGTCCTCCAGAGGAGGGATCCCTTATGAGGGGAGAAGGCACTGCTTTGACTGAGTTAAAAATAGAATCCCTGATTATGTTGAGAATACATATAAATGTCAATGAATCAATTAGGAATTAGGTAAGAAACCTAAGAATGAAATACCAATTTCTGAAGGAATTATCTAAAGTTGTTTAGACTGAGGAGTTCTGCATCAAAATTCTGAACAGTTGAAAATGAATTACAGAAACCACTGGAATGCTTTGTAATGAATCCCAGAGAGCATGAGAACTGCAGGAATTGACTAAGAATAAAATATAAATCAGTTTCATTGTTATTAATTAGACATGAAAAAAAAAAAATCAAAATAAAAAGAAGAAGCATTTTTGGGGTTTATCTGAAGACAAACAGTAATATTTATTGTATTTTATTGAATATTAAACATTAGTGTTACAGCTGATAAAAAGGCTATAGCGCTATCTACCTTTACAGTCTCCCCAGTAGAGATGTGTTGTGTAAGACATGTAATATATGTATTTATTTTTTCTTTGCTTTTACAAAATATCAAACTTTGAAATGTAATACAATCAATGCAAAGGTTTGAGGTCTTTTATCAAGTCAGGGTAAAACCCATGTAAAGGTATTCTAAAAAACCTAATCCAGACAAAAGCTCCTCATATATGTGCACACTCTGGGTTGATATATTTTACAATCCCCTTTTGGCCAGAGGCGAGCATTCCATCCCCCATTTTGTTTCAGGGTTGGAACAGAAAGAATAAGATCTTGGCTGATCCTCCCTGGCATAGCAGCAAGATAGTCTTGGGTACTGGTCAAGTCTTTCTTTGAACCATTTTAAAATGTCTTTCTATTGGCTATAGATATGTATGAAAGATTAAGCAAGTAACATTTTTTATTTTAGGCATTACCTGACTTGCTGGCATAGGTTCCTAATCATCTACAACAACAAAAAAAAAGATGTCCAGTTGCTGTTGATCCAGTTCTTTACTGACCTGACTTATTAATACTAACACACATCTGTCATTCTTCAATATCATGTTTATTAGGATTTCACATTTGAAAGATAAACTAAAATAAAGTTTTGCCATTTATGCTTTATGCTATAAGGAAACAGAAAATTAACCATTGCTAAAAATATACAAATTAAATTATCTAGGCACTCAGATCAACTTCAACCAAGGCTTTATAAAGTGTTTGAGTGTAGCCCCTTACTCATCAGTGGGGGGACTCTCTTGCGGCAGCCTGTCCTGAAACTCAATATGCTTCAGAGTAATAAGGGCGAGTTCCCCTCTTCATCTGGTTGTCCACCATAATTGCAATAAATCTAGCCTCTCTTAGAAACCTTTTTTAGTTATGCATTCTTGTTAAGGGACGTCACTGTAGTCTACTTACTCTGTACTTTGTCTTTAGCAAGCTTGTTTCTTCTTGGATTACCCCTAATCCTGCCTGAGAACCCTGAAATTGCTTTCTCATTTATCCCTCCATATGTACAGCTCCACCAAGACACAACTCTGGAAAATTTGCAACCACTAATCTTTTGGATATACTTTAATGTCCACCGCTTATCATCATCTGCACTGGCAACGAGCAAAAAACAAAAGTGCAACTGTTTGAGTCTTAAACAAGCCCCTTAGCCTTGTTGAAGCATGAAGTGTCGATGTATATATATATATATATATATATATATATATATATATATATATATATATATATATATATATATATATATATATATATATATATATATATAAATGTCAAATCAACCAAAACGAGGAAAAAATTATCACGTTAGTCGGTAGTTGTTTTTCGAAAAAAAAAAAAAGCACTTTAGGGCTCTGAAAAGTGCAAAGGTAGTGGAGGAGAGGATGACGTTTCCAGTGTACCTAAACACTTTGTTTGGGAAAGTCATAATTGGTTGGTCTAAAAGTTATTAGAAACATCTAGATCAATTTGTCACACAATCTCCATATTTGGTTATATTCTAAGACAAACTACAGGAGAGAAATTTCAATGTCAGCTTAAAGAAGGATATTAAAAACACTCTAAATATATTTAAAACAAATCAAGTCTATTAAATAGTGAATCATTTAAACATATTTAACGATACTTCCTCTTTGTCTAAAGTACATAAATGAATTTCATGTTACATATAATATAAAATTAATATTATGTATATGTATATACAATTAATATTATATACATTAATATTATAAATACCAATAGTTAACATAACCATATATTGTGATTTCTGAATTTTTGTTTTAGATTAGGTCTCTTAAAATGGACATGCACCTAGGATGACAATTTTAGATCCCTCCATGCTTAAAAAGTGTGAGAACTTGCAAATTGATGTGTTCAAATAAGGGCACTTGAGGACTCTGAAAAGTCCCTAATCACAACGACAAATCGACTAAAATGCAAAACTGAGTGTTTCTGAATGAGTTGATAATGAAACCATGTACTAGCATGTACCATTGAAGCCTATAGGAAAATTTAAATTTAATAGCTGCAGGTTTTGAGACATATTTGAAAAATAAGAAATCAGACAAAAAAACAAAAAAACAGGAAGATTAAAAGCATAGAAATAGATTTTGCATTGAGTTATACTTCAAACGGCTTTCACATGTCTCCTAAAAACACCAGTAACTACAAAGATATTGTTTATTTAACATTAACTAAGAATTGATCTTCAAAGAAAAAGTGAATCCATGTGAGGGTGGATCCGAACAGGGATCTAAGTTTTTTATCATTTCTGGGACAGTTTGCCAGAAAACGCACGAGAAAGTGATCCCGGATATTAAATTCTGTTGATTTCAAAGTATGACCCTATTCTTCAGAATAAGCCAGTTAAAAGCACCGGGAAAATGTATTTGCTTTATTTTACTCTCTAAAAGTTGTTAAAATATTGATCTTTTTGGTTTGCCTCACAATGCTTTTCAATTACATTTGAGAATACCTACAATGTTATCAAGGCTAGCAAAACAGTGCATATAACAAGAGATATTTATTACCAACCTGTGTGATAACAGATACCGTCATCTATTATAAACACAGTTTAAACATGTGCTCACCTTCTTTACGCAAAAAACACTTCCAAAGGCAGAAACACAAGGACATCACCAGCAAAGCTGCAACTGTGGTCACTGAAATCAGGATGGTGAGAGCTGTGCCAACTAAAAAAGAACAAAAATGAGACCTTATCAGAAGACTCCTTACTTGCAATGACCTGTATAACATATAACTGTTTAATCTAATTGCCGTGATGATACTGTATGTGTGTCGCCTGTTCTGGACTAATCGGAACCCTGCCGCTCTTATTTCTGGTCATCTATAATTTAATTACAGGTTTAATTTACAGTGTTACTGTCTAATTTCTCTTCTTTTGCACTCTTGACCCAAATAAATGTAGTAAATTTAGGGCCGGCAAGAAACTAAAGCCTCAACAGTGAGGTTTAATCTACATCTGAAAGCCACCTTGGATTCCTCTGTTAACAGTTTGGAGGAAAGGAATTTGTTCTCTTTAGGAGGAATGGGTTAGGCTTCCTTTAAATTGCACTCACCCTTAAACTTTAAACAAGTGGTACAATTTAGCTTTTCAAAACATGTAATAGGTTAGCTTGAATATCTAAAACTGATACAGTGAATTCTGCATATACAACATAATTTATCACTTAAAAAATACATGTCATACTGTAGCAAAGCTACTAATTGAACTGAAACTCATGTGTATTAACCTTTTCCTAAACCCATGTGGTTATTCGGAACCAATATCAATGTTGGGTAATGTTTTTTAGGTTTTTCTACACAATAGGCTAGTTATCAATATAAGAATGAGGTCCTCATTGTGTTTTTTTGCTTACTCATTTATGTGTTTCATATTTTTTTTTAAAAATACTCATATTCTTTATCTTCCATATTTTAATACACATTATAAGTAGACGAAATCTCAAATGTTTCAATTAGAACAATTCTACATTCTAGGGTTGCATGACGGGTTGTTTTATTAACATAAAACAACCCGTCATGCAACCCTAGAATTGTGCAAATGCTGTGTTTATATTTAAAATTGATTTAAAATGTACTACTACAATAATTTGTGAACTCAGCCTTCTAGTTCTCCCATTTTACTTATCATAAGTTTAATAAACTAACCTGTTAAGCTGTTCTAGAGGTTAATGTTGATATTAAGTGTTGTTTCTACTTGTGGGTGGAATTTTTTAAAAAGAAACTGGAAGTTGACTGAGTTTTTATCTTTAAATGCTTTTAAGATGAAAGTGAAATAATTTAAAGCTACCCCAATGATCTGTAATTGTTTTACTTGATATGTTTTTTTTTTATGTACATGTCATTTATTTTAATGTATCTATGTTTCTTATGTAACTTTGCTGCCTGTTGGCCAGGACTACCTTGAAAAAAGAGCTTTTTAATCTCAATGGGATTTTTTTACCTGGTTAAATAAAAAATAAAAACATTCAGACAAATTCTGTGCCCTAAGAAAGGCAGCTAAGCAGTTATAGTTGCAGCTTGAGAAACAAGTTAATTTTTATATTGTTGTAAGCCCGTTTAAATCTTCTGTAGTGATGCAAATCAATAAGATGTTTTTTTGACAAGATATGCCCTGCAGAGGAGGATTGTCAATAATCAATAACAGTAGACGTTAGCTGTTAACTCACTCTTAGTGTTCATGGATACAGCGATGGGTGACTCAAGCCCTTTGTGATGCACCAAGCATTTCACAGACACATCTTTAAGCAGCACTGATTGGACAGTCAGCGTGCTGATGACAAGAGTGGTCCCATCATCCTGCTGAAAATTTCTGTTAACAGGGGGACCCATGGTGCGGTTATTAGTTTCCACGTTCCACACAATATCTGCAGCAGGGCGGGAGACGCTAGTGCAGTTGGCTTCAATCACCCCTGGAGAAGTGGTCTTGTAGCTCACTTGAGGTTTTGGTAGAACTAAAAGAGACACAAGAAGCAAAGTGAGCAGAGAACATAAGGTTTTACTGTCTTTTTTACATCTCTGACAGACAGTTCTCAGGTTTAAGAAATATCATAATATCTTAAACCCAAATAAGTCTAAATCAGGTTGTAATAATGATGTTATTACATTAACTAATTCAAACTCTCGTGGACATGTATAATGTAGAGAGAAAACCTGACAAAAAAGCTTTGTCCCATAGAGACATGCAGGGTCCTGTTTTCATAAGATCCATAAGTAAATCTCAGACTGTTTTCCCTTCCCTGATCCCAAGGATGGGTGGGGAACATGATGCACTGAAATGGAGAGCATTTTTGTTGGCAAGAACACATTAAGCCACAGATATTTGGCTCTCCTGGTTTTAGATTCTTTTCAGGGTTCTGACTGAAGAATTTCATCCACCTTTGGGCTGGATGACAACTTAGATTTTCAGGGTGGGTTGGAGCTCAACAAAAACAAAAATTCAGATCATAAGTCAAACCACAATAACATCTCATAGCTTGGTAGGGGAGGCTTATAGATCTGAAGCAGTGTGTTAACAGAAAATCTGTAAGAAACTAAAGTTAAGCTGAACATAATTTGTAAAGGACAATTTAAACATCTTATCTTTTTGTCTTGTTTAAAATTTCAGAGTGCTTTTTCATTGAAAATTTTGACAAAAACACATGATTACTGAGTGCGCTACAGTGCGCTACAGTAGGCTGTTGAAATTGAATAGATTTTCAAATAGACTTATTTCAAAGGCCTTATTCTTCACCTCAGCTGTTGTGGGTTTGAGTCTCACCTGAATCACTTTTACCCCGACTTCCCCCTCTTTAAATCCCATTTCCTATCAGACTACTTTCGAAAATGATTTAAAATAATCAGGGTGGGCATATTCAGGGCATTGGAGGTGGATCAGGCTTTCTGGCTTTGCTTCCGGGGCTCATGCCCACCTGTGATATTTGGAATATACACTCACCGGCCACTTTATTAGGTACCCCATGCTTGGACCCCCTTTTGCCTTCAGAACTGCCTCAATTCTTCGTGGCATAGATTCAACAAGGTGCTGGAAGCATTCCTCAGGGAGTTTGGTCCATATTGACATGATGGCATCACACAGTTGCCGCAGATTTGTCGGCTGCACATCCATGATGCGAATCTCCCATTCCTCCACATCCCAAAGATGCTCTATTGGATTGAGATCTGGTGACTGTGGAGGCCATTTGAGTACAGTGAACTCATTGTCATGTTCAAGAAACCAGTCTGAGATGATTCCAGCTTTATGACATGGCGCATTATCCTGCTGAAAGTAGCCATCAGAAGTTGGGTACATTGTGGTCATAAAGGGATGGACATGGTCAGCAACAATACTCTGGTAGGCTGTGGCGTTGCAACGATGCTCAATTGGTACCAAGGAGCCCAAAGAGTGCCAAGAAAATATTCCCCACACCATGACACCACCACCACCAGCCTGAACCGTTGATACAAGGCAGGATGGATCCATGCTTTCATGTTGTAGACGCCAAATTCTGACCCTACCATCCGAATGTCGCAGCAGAAATCGAGACTCATCAGACCAGGCAACTTTTTTCCAATCTATTATTGTCCAATTTCAATGAGCTTGTGCAAATTGTAGCCTCAGTTTCCTGTTCTTAGCTGAAAGGAGTGGCACCCGGTGTGGTCTTCTGCTGCTGTAGCCCATCTGCCTCAAAGTTCGACGTACTGTGCGTTCAGAGATGCTCTTCTGCCCACCTTGGTTGTAACGGGTGGTTATTTGAGTCACTATTGCCCTTCTATCAGCTCGAACCAGTCTGGCCATTCTCCTCTGACCTCTGGCATCAACAAGGCATTACCGCCCACAGAACTGCCGCTCACTGGATGTTTTTTCTTTTTTGGAGCATTCTCTGTAAACCCTAGAGATGGTTGTGCGTGAAAATCCCAGTAGATCAGCAGTTTCTGAAATACTCAGACCAGCCCTTCTGGCACCAACAATCATGCCACGTTCAAAGTCACTCAAATCACCTTTCTTCCCCATACTGATGCTCGGTTTGGACTGCAGGAGATTGTCTTGACCATGTCTACATGCCTAAATGCACTGAGTTGCCGCCATGTGATTGGCTGCTTAGAAATTAAGTGTTAACGAGCAGTTGGACAGGTGTACCTAATAAAGTGGCCGGTGAGTGTATTTAGACACTTAGGGTTTAGGGTGGGACAGTGACTTTTTCCCGTCTTTTTGGTTTGTAATGACGACCTTTATGACAGATCTTTAAGAAGCACGGACAAGTGTTACTGTATAGTAAGGAGGGTAAATAGCTCCCACATCCTAAACTTGAGGTAAGTTTTAGGAATTATTACTTTTTTTTAATGCTGTATTATTTGGCACAGCTTAACTTAAAAAGTAAACTTTTTAAGCTCAAAAACGTTCCCTTTCTTCCAGATAGATACAATTTGTTGATCACACAATTTTAAGACTAAAAAATAGATTACCTCTTTGTGGCAAACATGCAGCAATGTGTTAAAAGCTTCCCTTAAGGTTTTACATGCTTACCTGCATGATACACTGCAAAACATATAGTTCTAACTAAGTTGACTAAATGGATTTTGCTAATAATGTTAATTCCATTGGAAGATTATTTTATTTTCTCAAATTAAGGGTAAATACGCTTATTTTAAGAAATCTTTACTCATTTTCAGAACGTTTTTGCAATGTAGCATTTTATAATAGCAATGAATTGTCTGCAAATCCACATTGCAGTTTTACTTTTCCCTCACACTGAAAATAATCTGGTGGATTGGAGATTATTTTCAGCACACTGGGGTCATTATCATAATGTACAAACCAGTTTGACCTTTCTGATATGCTTCTAAAAGTAGATATGGTAAACATAAAGGACTACACATGGTTAAGCAGAGTTAAACTGGGAAGTTACATAATATTCTTCTTCCACATCCAGCCTAAACTGGAGATAAAACCCAGGATGGATCTGTACAGCTTAAGATATTAAATTATATGAAAAAACAAACATAAAACAGAATGAAGTTAAAACAAAAAATATATTCATTTAAAGAGCAGTTCTGAAGGTGAAAATAATGCTCTTTTCTAAGATAAGTTTTACTGACATGTGATAGACAAACAAAATAAAAACCTGATGATAAACAAGTGTTGGGGGATTGTTAAGAAAGCTAATGCACAATTGAATATTTTGATTGACAGATTTAGAACAACATATTTTACTGACTCTACTGTCTAATATTACAATTCAAAGTTGTGAACTTTCTTTCAAAGGCAGATCATAAACATATTTGCACTGTATGTCCAAAAATCCATTATGAATCCCTCTGTTCATATAGTTTTTTCTGGGTCTGGTTGTAATTTCAAAGTGATTAGGTCTCTGCTTCCTGCTGTCACTGAAGGATGATTAATGGACTTGTGCTTGTATCTGTCATTATTGTTCAGAGTGTTTGAAAGTCTGAAAAAAGCAGGGGTCATTATGCAATCCAAGATGTACACTGTACATTTTGCATTGACCTAAAATATATCTCATATATATTTACTTACTTATTCACATCAAGTGAAAATACACTTATTTGAATGCAAATTATGTCTAAATTTTACCTACTTCTAGTTCACTTTTTGAAGTGTAGTGAATCCAAACAGAATATAGACAATAATATGCAGCAATAACCAAAAGCTAAAAATGTTCCTTATGCCTTAGCAGGAGTTTAATATAGTTTAATTTCAAACAAAAGTACATCTGTTCCCTAAAACTAACGAGTTGAAACGCACATGAAAACAAAGGAGGGGCAGACAAAGCACAGAAGAAATCTCTGTGCGCTGCAAACACTGACACAGTCATGCATCTGGACGTCACTCCCTTCCTCCATCATTCTTTCAAACGCTCCATTCTGCACATGGGCATTATTGTTTAGTGTTTGTGTGGAAGCGGGCTGGCCAAACTCTGACCCTGCTGCTGCATCATAAAATAATTCAGAACTGAGGAGGAAAAAAAGATTAATATTCATGTACAAATCCCAACAGTATCTTTCTACTCTGATCTGTTTCACTACAAACTTCTTAACTTCAAAATTTGTTATTTTTCATTTAAATATTAATAATATAAAGTGAACAAATAAGGAATGAGTGGATTAAGCTCAAGCTATAAAATGAGTAATCCTACCTACGTGTTACTTAATCTGGCTAAATTTATAAACCAGAACTTCTTGCAGGGGCCTAAAAGATCATTTTAAACATTGCTACCTAAACCTAAATAAAATTCCTCTACGCAGTACCTTATAAAAAAACAAAAGGCTAAATATAAATCTCAGTGTAAAAGTAAGTCGAGTTACACATTGTGCTTTGACTCATTTCTCTCAGCTTTCTTAAGTCTAAATGCAAAAAGTTTGAAAAGGCTTTTCCACCTTTGTGCTATTTAATATTTAGTAAAGCTAAAATTTCATAAGTGTGTGAGATTGGTATGAAGTGCTGTCATGGGGAACTTCCCTTCTGGAGCAAATCTGAGTGGAAGGTCTGATTGTAAAGTCTTAAAATGAGCATTTCAGTTTCTGTGTGAAAGGTAATTATGACTGAGACTGAAGATGCTCCCACTAACTCTATAACGCAACAGGCAAGCTTTGTTATTAGAAACTGTAACACTTCATACAGTCTAGTTTACTGTTTCTCACTTTTCCTATTGTTTTGAAATGTTTTCTCCTTAAAGGAATTTTTAGAACTATGATCTACACTTTAAGAAACTAGACATGTCAATTCAAATGTAACTGTAATTAGGCAATTAATCAAAAAACTACTAGAATTAAAGTTGCATTCTTTCTGACAGAAACATTTGTAAATCAAAAAACAGATTTGAATTGTTTTTCTTTTAATGAACAAAGAAGTTTGCTCCTAAGGAGACATGAAATGGGAATTCCTCAAAGTATAGCAGTATATCAATGTAAATAAAGAAAAATTGCATTTACAAAAAGAGATTTGTTAAAAACTAATTACACCCAGTTAAACTCTTTTAATATCTGCTGACTGTAATTGTTAAATATTTCTGGAAGTATTTTAACAATATATCTTTATTGTAGAGCTTTGAGTATAGGTCTTTTTATTATCAGCCTTATTTACCTCCTAAGATTATCCATCAGATTAAATTTGGGACTGTGGGTTAAAATAACTTAAAGTGAGAGAAAAGGCATATTGTTAAAGTGATAGATTACTTCAAGCCTAATGCTGCGATTACTGCTATGATCTTTAGAAGTCTTAATTGTAGCTTTATTACACATAGAGGGACATTCAAGTGTCTGATATTTTAGATTATAATGTCCTGGTTAGGGGTGGAACGGTTCACAAAATCCACGGTTCGGTTCGATTCACGGTTTCGTGGTCACGGTTTCGGTTCGGTATATGTTGATCCCATAAAAATTTATGAAATTAATGAAAAAATCCCCCCAAAAAATAATGGATTGCAATTATTTTTAATGATCCGCGGAAACCCTGGATCATTTCCGCATGTTTTGATGCTTTGAATTTAATCATCTCGCGCATGCCCTCTACGATCTACAAGGAACTCGGAGCGGAGCGGACATGAGCCGCAGCAGAGGCTGTATACTTTGCTTTGTGCAGGCGGTCTGGAGCGCAGCGGAGCGGAGCGGATTTCGGGGTTAGCATGACATGTTAGTCATGTTGCTGTTAGCATAAACAAAATATTTTGCGAATCGAACCGAGACAGTCGAACTGAACGGTTTGGACGGTTTTCATAAACCGTCCCATCCCTAGTCCTGGTACTCATGAAAACACAATTGTCCTTAAAATAATTTTAGAATTAGAAATGATCTATTGTCTCCATGGTAAAGATACTGATTTTTCAAATCAAGTAAATATAATCTCTGTTTTACCTCAGCTCAGGTAAAAGGTTCAGCCATTGCCTCTGATTAAGGAGGTAAACATTAACGATATCAAAGTCTCTCTTAATTTCTGTTTTTCTCTGATCATAAGAATATGTTTAGAAAACTTTTTTAAATAATCTGTGTATTAAATCTCTATATATCCCTTTTCAAACATTACAATGAAGGAACTTTCTGTTGACTGACTGAAACGCATCTAGACTATAAACACATAGAAGGACGAAAAAGCTTTAATAAAGGGTTAGGAATTCAAGTGCATGTGCTTCATGTAAAAGGAGAAACCCTTTTAATTTAAAGAAAATGCTAAAAACTACAATAAGAAATAACATAACTGATACAACTACACTGCACTGCACCAACAAACTTTCAGGAGAAGACATCACCAGCTCACCAATGAAGGAATTGGGTATTTTTGCACAGAACTTAGTTTTCTTTTTTCTTTTGTTCACAAATGTATTTTAAAGGGTCATAAAAAAATATATACTTTTTTTTTATTTACAGCAAGAAGAACATTTACTTAAAATAAAAATATTTTTTAAAACCTCAACTTGAATAAAGAGAAGAAAATAAATGATCTTGGATCAAATAAAGAAACGCCTAATTTTTTATTGGTAAAGTTTTGCTAGTATTATGTAGATGTAAAAAGATGAACTTAAAAGAAGATATTTACCATAGGTGGAGAGGCAGATCACAGAGCTCTTTATTCCATCAGAATGTGTCTCATAGACGCAGGTGTAGCAACCCTCATCCTTAATGGCAACAGGCTGGATTGTAAGCTCACTGTGTGAGAGGGAGGCCGATAGCCAGGCCCTCCCCTGATAACGTGGCTCGATCATAGGATCGCTCTGCTTTGCAAAAGAGGCCACCTCGTTTGATTCGCCATGAGCAGAAGTATGCTTCCACAGTATCTGTTGTACCTTTTCAGGCAACCCGAAGGCGCATGACAGGGAAACCTTCTTTCCGCTCACTGCTGTTGTGTTTTTATCAGATGTAACTTCAGCTGGGAATAAAAAGAAAAGGTTAATTCAGTGTAACAAATAATAAACACTGTGACACACAAGAAAAAGAAAAGTTAATATTGAGAATATTAGGTATCCAAACAGAATCCAGTCAATGGAATCTGCTCCAGCTGTTTTTGCTTAGGAGCATAAGCCCCCCTTCTTGCACTGCTGCACAGCTTTTTATTAATGTGACTGGGTGAGTCTTAGCACACTCATCAGTTTCTGGTCAGAGGTCAGCAGTGGTTATGAACATAAATATATGCATATTTTCAGTATGGAGTCTTGTCTGCGAAAGGGAAATTATCTAGCAACCATGAAACACTGTCAATTGCAACAATCGAGATTGAGGACAGGCCACTATAATTTATGATACCCTTGTGACATATTTGTTTAGGCCAAGTTATCCCTGATTTATATTGACTACTATCCTCTAGAAAAACTTTCCTAACCCATTTATCACCTTAAACCTTAAAAACAGATGTGGAACTCGTCTGTGCCAAACAGAGGATAACTTGTTGCTCATAAGCTTATCTCTAGGGTCTGTTTCTTCCTATTACTTTAAATGAAAACTTTACAAAATAAAGATCACGACTCTTCTTTCTGAATGAGGTACATTTTATAACCTAAAATACAAAACACATAGGTGTCTTAATGTCATCAAGCTGTAACTCACTTCGTAATTAATAATGGAGTTCCACAGTGTTCAATTCTTGGATTTTTCTGATTAATTTCTACTTGCTTCCAATTGGTCTATAATCCATAAATAGAGTACATCTAATCACCCCACCCTGCGAAAAAAACATATATTTATAAGATCTACTCTGCTTTTGTGAATATTTTGTCCACTAAATCACAGAAGACAAATAATAATGTGTCGTACATCAATGGCATAAAGAAAGCAGCAGCAGGAATACTTTTCTTCTTTTCGGACAGTGCAACTTTGTTAGTATCAAAATAATTATGACTATTTCACTTACCATCAACAGTGAGGCATGTCTGCCCCTGCTTAGAGCCTGAAAGATTTAGCTCAAAGATGCAGGTGTAGCAGCCTTCATCGCGGAAACCCACTCTGCGAATGGTGATAGATGAGGTATCCTTTGATGAGGAGGAGGCGAGCTCCACATGCTGTTGTGCCAATATACTCTCTTTGTCTCCTGGCTCGTATGTCAGCAGCGTTTGGTTCTGCGTGTCTAGCCAGAGGACTTTCCTCAAGGAATCACTGCGTTCCTTCGAAACAGTGCAGGTGAGTGTGAAAGGCTTGTCCAATGGTGCTTTTAAACGTGCTGGTGCCGTCACTCTGCCTAAACCAATATTTTTGTCACAAAACAATGAGCTGATGTAGTTCTTTTATATTCTTTTCGGTTTTGTATGCTGCTTCTTACCATTTGTTTGTCCCACCAATAGTAGGAGAAAAAACACCTGAAGACCTGTTCTACATGTGACAGGGATCATCATCTTTCACTGGGTTAAAGAAAGAAAAGTTAGTCTTATATTTCATAAACATTGTCACAGTTGTGATCATTACTTATAAGATACTCTTCATGGATTAAATAGATTTTGTCTTAATTTTGTCTAAATACTGTTGATGAAATGTAATTAAACCCTGGACTCATATTTCTGTGAGTTTTTTAGGGACCAGGGTTGTACCACAATGCCCCAATGTGTCCAGATTTAATTCATCTAGCTGTGAATTTGATTTAAGGTAAAGCTCAATATTTTGGACGTAGATATTATTTAATATTCCATCCACTTATACAATGCACAAGAAATACTGTTAACTATACAGTCCACCACAAGTCACTACTAACACCTTGTTTGACAGTCAAGACTTTTAAAACCTTGAGTGATGGCATAGTAGAGCATTGCTCTTGGGTGTCGGAGGTTCTGAGTTCAAGTCCCACACACTCCCATGGACTGTCACTCTGAGTCCCTAAGCAAGACCCCTAACCCCACACTGCTCCCTGGGCACCGCACAGTGGTAGCCCACTGCTCCCCAAAGGGATGGCTTAAATGCAGAGAGTTCATTTCGTTGCTCTGTTCTTGTGACTGTGTAATGACAATAAAATTAAATTCTAATTCATTCATTCTTAGCATTAGAGAACACCTTCTTTTCACATTGGCCAAACATCTCTATCTTTGTCTTATCTGACTAAAACTCTTCTTCCAGACGACGTTTATCTTTTAGATGCAAATAGTTAAAGATCAAGCCTCCGGGTTTCTATTTTGAAGCCGGCAGTTCTTCCTTGGTTATCTTCCTTATAGTACATGATTATAAATGATGTACTGTTCTATGGACATTAATGATTCTCCCTTCATTTCTCATTCATGGTGGGCTTGAGTTTTTGTTTAGTGTTTGTATTGTGAGATGAATTGTGTGTGACATTCAGCTCTGCAGAGCCTGGGTGAAGAAGCATTATTTAAGAGTGTTAGGGAAAGGATGCATGTAAAAGCTTAAGAGCTTAACGCTGAAGACTCAACTTGAGGCAACTCTTTCCTAAACAATTTAACCTTTCATTTGACAGCTACATTTTGAGTAAAAGTGATTGAAGATTACATACAACTGGGAGTTTCAACAAAGCAGTGATAGAAAACACTCAACCCTACCCTAGATTATGATTATAAACTGGTTATGTGACATTACTATTCTTTCAGTCATCTATTTTCCATGTCTGATCGATTTGTCTGGATTGTGGGTGGCCTACGCCTTCACATTGCAGTTAGTGGAAAAGAGGCAAAAAGATATAGGTGTTATAGGTACAGCTGGTGTTAAACTGGACAAACACAGCCATCAATGGACCTGGGGCAGATTAATTTAGGACCGTTGGAGTATCTGGAGAGAATCAAGGCAAGGAAATTATGCCCACGACTGCACTATAATGAAGCACTTCTCAATGTAGGTTTGATTTCAATAAATACTACCACTTTGGTCAGGAAAAGTGGGGTTCAAGTAATTACTCCTAAATGAGTGTTATAAACCTATGTAGAAGTATGCTGGTGAAGATTCTCAGTATGGATGGGAAGCAAAACGCCTTCAAACTTGGAAAACAAAATCCAGTGGTTTGTTATTTAACTTTTTTTTTTTACTTTTTTGGACTGAGTAGAAGTACAAGAGAAAGGCATCTACCTTTTATGGTAGAGGAAATAGGTTAAAATCATTTGCACCATTGTTTATTGGCAAATATAATATCGAAGAAAGACATACAGTTTAAGTTCAACACATTTTCCCAACTCTATAAAATTGTAACCCAATTTTGAAATATTTGAAAATTTGCAAACATGTTATATATTGACTAATGCAACATTTCAAAGTATGAAGTCTCAGTTTTGTTCATCAAAGGGATAATATCAGAGTCTATAAATAGTTTTCTAAAGTAAAAGTTGTATCAGATTTGCTTACAGAGAAACTCACCTTCTGCCTCCAATTAAGTGTAAAGCAATAACGATGGTCTACCTCTGCAACATCTTCTGCATCCTTATAATCCAGCAGTCTTTTGGGCGTATCGACATACAACAGGCAACTTTCTGCTCCTTCTAACCTGTTGCTTTTTTCTTCCGCGCTCTCCTCAGACTGAAAACCAACCGATGTCAAACACTGCATTTCTGTTAGAACACAAATGAAGCGCTGTCTGTGAAACTAATCTTTATTTTTCTGTTCCATGGCGCCCCCTAGGGTCATGATACTTTGCTGTCAGTGTCAACACTTAGAAAACAATGACGGAAGAAAATAATATTAATATAAAGCTTTTTTTTTTTCTTTTTTTGGTATAAAATGTGAATATTTTATATAAATTACTGTATACTGAATGCACAAAATAGTCCAAAAATAATGCCCTTTAAACTTAAGGAACCAACAAAAACGCACTAAGTGAGTAAATTAATTTAATAACGTATTTGACATTTTCGAGAGAAAAAAACTGTAAAGAATTAACCAGTTAAAATGACGTTGTTGTTACTGTTGCTTCATTTTAGATAATAGTGCCATAAATACCGAGTTGCTTGTGACGTCTGGTCCACCATATAATGAGTGGCAACCTGAAAACCTATGCAACGATTTTAAATCGGGATATTTAAATGAAAGTCGTATAGAATTTAGGGTTACCTGATTTTGATAGATATGTTTAAAAAGTTTGTCTTGCTAAGGAATATATAGATATCGAAGGCAAAAATATCTGCAAAAAAAAAGGAAAACTATTTGAAACACAGTGTACACAAATGACTCTTAGATTGAAAATAAGAGTGATGATATAAATGTGTTTTCTATTAAATTACTCAGTTGTAAAATCAACCCTATGTGTACAGTATATGTATTTTAGTTTTCTTCAGCATCACAAAACCGAATAAATGAAAATAAGCGAAGCCAAAATCACTCACAATATGGCGGCGAGATTGACGCACTGTCTTTAATACGTCATCTATTTATTTTTTTATTTTTTTCAAGTGATGTTATATTTTCAAATAAATTACAGATGGTTACTATCCTCCATTTAATTTTCAGTTTTATCCAAAATGGCATTACATTATTGTCATTTATCTTTTTTTTTATCCTATTATTTTGCGGTGTAACATACGTAATATTTCTGCGACGGAAGTGTGTTGGAGGCGGTCTGCTGTGGTGTCTTGACAGCTAAGCGAGCGCTGCCAAAATGTTTCACACAAAATACGCAGTTTACTCCATATAAGAACTGCTGTATCTTGTTTTTGGGCTAAATGAACTAAAGCTTTCGTGCAATCTGTGGCACACCAGCAGTGTGTTTATTTTAAGTATTGTTGTGTTATTTTACAGACTTCTTCGTCATGTCGTTTCTAGTGGACTCAGTCATCATGTTCACATCTCAGGTAATCAGTTTAAGAAAGTTTACTCCATCTTTTTTTGTATGTTACAGACCACTGGATTTAAATTTGTTATTGCTTTTCTACTAAATAATTTCTTCATATTTCACTCCAGGTGCTGTTTTTTGGGTTTGGATGGTTATTCTTCATGCGACAGCTGTTTAAAGATTATGAGGTATGGCTTTATTGCCTATATTTCTTGCAATATTATTTGTCTATGTCAGTGAGTGAACAAAGCAGATTGCTATAGGCTATAGGTTGTCAAGTTGTTGCACAAGTGCCTCCAATATTTCCTAAAGACAATTCATGTTTTTTGATTCTTGCAAGATCACAGTTTGCTCAGGATTATTTAAAAGAACATGTTAAGGTTTTATTGTCAGTCTTTGTTTTTCCTTTTCAGGTGCGACAGTATGTTGTCCAGGTGGTTTTCTCCGTGACCTTCGCATTTTCTTGCACAATGTTTGAGCTCATCATTTTTGAGATTCTCGGGGCCTTAAGCAGCACGTAAGTGGTCTTTATTTTGAGGATGATAACTTATTCTATTGTTTGAAAGTTGAAAAAAGGTTGTTAACTATCCCATTTTGTTCTAGCTCCAGATATTTTCACTGGAAGCTGAATCTGTACGTGATTCTGCTGGTTCTAATCTTTGTGGTGCCTTTCTATATTGGTTACTTTGTTGTCAGCAACATAAGACTATGTAAGTTCAAATTATTATAGAAAAAAATAGATCTTTGCACCAAATATTTGTAAGTGATAAGTTGATGATCTGATGCTGCTGTCTTATTTCTTCTCTAATCAGTGCACAGGCAAAGACTTCTTTTTGCCTGTATGGTGTGGTTCACCTTCATGTATTTCTTCTGGAAGTTGGGAGACCCATTTCCTATCTTGAGTCCAAAACACGGTGAGTGTGTAATGCTTTTACCATTGTTTTGTAGGAATATCCCCATCTGATATTGATATTACAAATTAGCATGATATCAGTAAAAGGACAAAAAAAAGAATGGAATATATTAGCCTTCCGTCCGACTTCCATCCACTTATGTTTATGTAATCCATTGACTAAAGTACATGGGTCAGTTGTTCTAATATCTGTTGTTGACTATTGTTCTGTGTATTATGACTAGATTAAGTACAGTAACCAGGAAGCACACCACACAAACATTTCAATTGGGAAAATTCAGGTGTCAGAGGAGAAATCTCAGAGAACCTCTGAAGATCAAATGTGAGTTAAGAGTAAATGAACATGGCTGTCGAGGAAGAAGAAATGGAGATACCTTGTGGTCTGATTTTAACAGAGAAATAAACATCAGAATAAGAAAATCAGCGTGGTACCAACATCTTTTCAAGTTCACAAGATCACTCTTTCCAAAATGCACACAGCAGGATTATCTCAAAAGATTATCTTTGAAGTCACCACAATAATTGTTGGCTCTCGAAAGGGGAAGATGGGAACAAAAAATTTACACAATTCAATTCTGTCAGTATAAATACATCTATTCTTACATCTATGCTTTTTTTTTTTTTTTTTTTTTTTTTTTAGGGATTTTGTCCATTGAGCAGCTGATCAGTCGTGTTGGTGTGATCGGAGTCACTCTAATGGCTTTGCTCTCAGGGTTTGGTGCTGTCAACTGTCCATATACATATATGTCCTATTTTCTCAGGTGAGCCCCCTCAGGTATATTTCTTTACTATTTGTGCAGAAGGTGGCACTTTGGCTACGTTCACACTGCAGCCTGAAGTGACCCAATTCCAATTTTTTTGCCCATATGTGACCTGTATCAGATCTTTTTATGACAGTCTGAACGACACAGATCGGATTTTTTCAAATGCGACCCAGGCCACTTGGATATGTGGTCCTGAATCCGATACGTATCTGATCTTTTCAAATGCGACCTGTGTCTGTACGGCCAGGTCGCATTCATCCGACCTACACGTCATTGATACTTGACAAATGTTACTAAACGTTACTAATCTGCGTCCTACTAAGCGGAGGCGGGAAAAACTAACAACCATGGCGAAAGATAACACAGAAAAATCAGATTTCGCAAAAAAATTGGAATTGAGCATTAAGGCCTGCAGTGTGAACGTAGCCTTTGTCTTCATAGCTAGTTTCTGTGGTTTTCACAGAAATGTAACAGATAGTGACATTCTTGCCCTGGAGAGGCGGCTGCTCCAAACCATGGATATGATTGTCAGCAAAAAGAAAAGGTTGGATGATTTTATTTGACCTTTTTCAAAGTTTTCTTTTTTTTTTCCCTCTTAATCTTCAAACCGTTTTCTTCTGCAAAATGTAAAACAATGCTTTTGTCTTGTCTGTGAAGAATCGCCATGACAAGGAGGCAGATGTATCAACGAGGAGAGGACCAAAACAAACAGACTGGTTTCTGGGGCATGATTAAGAGCGTCACCTCTACACAAACAGGCAGTGAAAGTATCCTTCATGTCTGGATGCTTCCGACTGATTCCGACTTTTTAGATGCTAAATAACTGGTCCAGAAAATGATAGTAGTCAGTGTGATCCCTGACTTCCTCGCTACAGATCTGTCCTTGATTCAACAGGAAGTTGATGCTTTGGAGGAGCTGAGTCGACAACTCTTCCTGGAGACTGTGGATCTGCAAGCTACCAAGGTAACAGATCTGTGTGTCTGCGGCACACAGGGGTGATCCCTGCATGACAGTGGAAGCAAATATGACAGAACAAACCTTAGGTTGAAAACATTTTGTGAAGAATTAGTGTCAACTTGATATGTGTGGCTGGGATCGCTTAAACGTGGAGATAATCCGTCATAAGTTATCTCTGTTGTCCTGCTGTGCCGTTCATCTTTTCCCTTGTTTGGGTTTGCAGGCCTCAGGTTATAGATAATTACTGGTTACTCACCTGTTTCCTTCATCAGTCACTTTGAATACATTTCCAAATTAAGACTTTATAACATAAAGGTATTCAGTATGGTGCATGTCCACCCTTGATATCTAGCTCTAATTTCAGATTAAACATGTAAAGATGAAATCGATTAATTTACTAAAAACCTCGCAGACAGAGAAGCCGAAATAAATTTTTGAAATGAGCTCCAAGTTTCTTTGGATAGTTGGCCAGGTCCTTTTATCCTTGTAGCTTTCATCTACAGACACAAGTTGTCTCAAGCTAACCCACTCTTCTTTTTTATTATTATCATTCTTACATTTTTAAGTAATAACTATTCTATTATTATCCATTATTAAAGCTGCAAAGAAAGATGTTATTAATTCAATTATATTACAATCTTAATTTACTTGTGGTATAAATATTATTGGCTTTAGTTGTACACAGAAGAAATTTCAGTTTAGCTGAATTCCACCTAAAGCTGCTTCTCTTCTCAAAAGGGCAAAGAGTTGGTTTTATTGATGAGAACTTTTCACATTGAGGCTAATTGTGACCATTTAAAAAACTTTTCGTAAACTCTCTGTTCACACATGTGGACAGTCATAACTTTGGTTGTAAACAGAGACACACACACAGACACGCATAGAGCAGCCATAAAGCTCTCACCTTCAAGCAGAAAAACAACCTAAAGTTTTTCCAAAGCATCTTAGTTTACAAGGCCTTCATCCCTGAATTTAACACAGCTTTATGACCAACAGAGAGCTGTGCTCAGCTCAAGTTTGTCATGCAAAAAATATATGACTACAATAGTTAAGCAGCACAGGATAGAAGCATTTCTCTGTGTGTTGTCCTTTGAATGGGAGTATACTGTATATTATATAAGTATATAATGTTGGTAAACATTGGTTTTTGAACATGACAGCAAAATATTTATATCAATGCAAATCTGCAGATTTTCTCACCTAGACTAAACATTTAACCTACAGCACTCTCAGCTTATTAATGCAGTCATGTATATTTACCTTGTGGATAAGTGGAAAGTTAATTGATGTTTTTTATTTCCATACAATTCTTCTTGATCTTCAGGAACGAATCGAGTACTCAAAGACATTCCAGGGGAAATACTTCAACTTTCTCGGTTACTTCTTTTCCATCTATTGTGTTTGGAAAATCTTCATGGTAAGAATACTGCATTCATATTTTCTATCTCACATAAACAGCCACTAAACTGTTGGTTAAATCAAGACTTCTTATGTCTCTGCTCTTAAAGATGTGATGCAGTTGATTTTATTTTTCTGTCAACTATAGGCCACGATAAACATAGTGTTTGATCGAGTTGGAAAGACGGATCCAGTGACGAGGGGTATCGAAATAACAGTAAACTACTTGGGGATCCAGTTTGACGTAAGAAACTTCATCACATCTACAAATAAATGTTTATGAATGGTTTTCTTTCACTTTTTTATGATTACATAAATCTTTCTTCACAATCTCTGCAGCCACCACCCCTTCAATCTTAATGCCAACCCTGAAATGAAATATAAAGATTAAATTAATGATTTACCTCTCAGGTAATTGTTTTATGCCTCTAAAAAGCCACAGGTATCCACCCAAGATGACACAGAGTGACCTCCTATTTAGATAACTTACTGCCCATTATCGCCTCTCCTTGTTCTCTCTGCAGTTGATCTCATCCTGCTTTAGTTCATTGTGCTGACATTAAAGGTTCACACTAGAGAGGTGTAATCTAAAATCTCTAGTTTCATGCTTTTGAATTTTTTATTCAAGTTTTGGCTTTTGCTCAGTGTTTTCTCTCTTTTCCAGGTGAAATTCTGGTCTCAGCATATTTCCTTCATCTTGGTTGGAATAATAATTGTCACTTCCATACGAGGTTTGCTCATCACACTAACAAAGGTAAGATCTGACCATCTGTGGAAAAACAAATGTAAAATACTGCAGTTCTGATTAACACCATTAATCAACAGTCAGTTTAGTTTTCACATCCAGGTTTGATCTTGTTGCAGCACCAATTATGCAATTAGACCAGCTTAACTGCATCTTGCTAAAAGCTATTTTAGTTGACATATTTGCACAAATTGCTTCCTAAAATTGTTTTCTCTCTTTCCACAACTTGAATGTTTTGTCCTCCATTTATTTAGTTCTTCTATGCAATATCGAGCAGCAAGTCTTCCAATGTCATAGTACTCGTCCTTGCGCAGATCATGGTGAGTACGTGTTTCTTTTTCAATTTGGTGACATCTGCAGAGTTCAGTTTGATATAAGGATATTTTTTGTTGTTTTTTTGTCTCCCAATCTACTAGGGGATGTATTTTGTTTCATCCGTGCTGCTGATGCGGATGAGTATGCCACTGGAGTATCGCTCTATTGTAACAGAGGTTCTGGGAGAACTCCAGTTCAACTTCTACCACCGCTGGTTTGATGTCATCTTCCTGGTCAGTGCGCTGTCCAGCATCCTCTTCCTTTATCTTGCCCACAAGCAGGCACCAGAAAAACACATGGCCCTCTAAACACCCATGGTGATTAATGGGCTGAGCTTTTTCTGCAGTTCTAAGATGTATAGCCATCGTTTTAAAGGCATTTACTCCTGAACCAGGAAGAAAAAGTGTTCCAGGGCTGTTGGAGCAAGAACTGAAGAAGCTTTGCAACTGGACTCTGTAGCACAGTGTATTTACAGAAAATTGTTGAAATTATACAAAACATTCTCTTTGTTTTGTATTCTTTTGGTTCATTGGTTAAATATTTTTATTTCGTCCCACACTGGTTGAGCAAAACACATTTCTTCTTTAACTGTGGAGTGAAAAAGGGGGGAAAGGTTTTCCCACTGTGACTTCCTTTTTTTTTGAATGTTCTGATATATGATTTTGTTTTGGAGAGAGACAGACTCATAAAGTAAGCCTTAACTCGGAGGGAAGGTGTCAGCTTGAGTTTTTTACTTTATGTGAGAAATGTGAACTTTTTTTTAAAACATTAAATAAAGGCAAAGAAATGCGTGAAGGAAATAATAAAAGAAAAAAACATGAAAGGCAACTGTATTTATTGCATACATAGATGATTTTTAAATTGCTTGAACATCGACAATCTCAGGTATGTAAAAGAGGCAATTCATCAATACACATGCTTTGATCTAAAGAAAATACAGAATCATCCACATTTAATGGCACCTTTGGTAAGAATCTGTAAAAAGCCTTGAAATAAGGGGATATTTTACTATTAGGTGTCCTCCATCATGGTCTATCTTACTGTGCATAGTGGAAAGATGGCGTTTCCTGTCCTTCCCTTTTTCGTCCCAGCTCCAGATTTGTTAAAATATGGACTTCAAGCAGTAGCTTTTGTCTTGTAGCCATTCGATGTTGTATAAATAAAAATAAAATAGATTTTGGTTAAATCTTGTGTTCTCCAACCCTCCCATATACAATAACGTCTAAATGTCAACAGGTTTATTCACCACTTTACTGTTTTATTTAGTTAAAAGTGGAAGTTATAGATTACCTATTTTAAGTTCCTTTCTGATCCTCTAAAACAGTGAAAGCTTTATAAATATGCTACAGCTTTATTTGCTTGATTGGCGGTTTTATAAGAAACCCCACAGTACCCGCCTGAAGCTTTGCATGTATGAAAATTACATTTTGACATTGTACTACCTTGAGAAAAGGTTAATTCCTTCTTTTTATTACCTATTGTTAGAGGTCCTAGTGAATATGCTGCTAAAGGTGCAAAATGTTTTTTCTTTCAGTCATGGAACAACTGCTCTACTGTGATTACATTTTTTTTTTTTAGTTTTCAAATAACCTTGCTGTGCCATTTTATTCTTCCGTTTCTTCTTTTTTTTTCACCTGAGTATGTGAGGGTCATGGAACACAAGGTGAAAAAATATCAGTTGGCCACATTCAGGATTTTTCAGAGTCTGTCATCAAGGCTGCCTTCAGATGAAGATGATGATACAGAGGAGGTCTAAAAGGAAGAAGGAAAAGTTTGTTATAACTAAGCTGAGGGAGGAAGAATGCCATCTCTACGTCGATATAACAAAGCTTGAAAGTGTTTTGACAAAAACAATATTTTTGCCTTGCTGTATTGTCATGTTTAATGTTCAGGAAAAGTTTCATGCAGGCTAAGGTCGTAAAAACGTCTATTCAATCCGTCATTCAAGAAATGAAAGAGTATTGCTCAAAAGCAAACTTTCCAAAATATTATCATCCACCTGAACTGACAGATTGGACAGGAAGCTTTTTTTAGGCAAGAGGACCATCGTGCCAAGAGAGATTTGCTGCTTAGGTCAAACTATCATTTCACTGTGCAAACATTCAACATTCCGCAAATCTCTTTATTGAGGAGTGGCAAGAACGTCATTGTTAATAAAAATGTCTGAAGGGTCCAGTTTATGTCAAGCTTTTGTAAGGAACAGACCAACAGGAGGAAGACTGAAATAGATCTACATGCAAATGCTATGTGTGACGGAACGATCCCTGCAAATCTACCTTACCTCACCATGCCCACAGGGAAACATGTTGCTGGCAGAATCATAATTTGATTTATCAAAGACAGAAGTTGGTCAGTTGGTGAGAAGGTTAATTGAGCCAAATAGAGAATAATCATCAAAAAATTTGGGCCACCGACTTTTTGGGTGGAGGTTCATGTTTGTGCAGAAGGACGTCTGTAAACATACAGCCAGAGCTACTTGGGTACATTCTGGTCAAAAAGTTTTCCGACTTCTCATTTAACAATCAAACTCCAGTAATAAATCCAGCCCATATTTATTCCATTTGAAAGTAATTTGTACTGCATAAAACCCTGATGATCGAGTTCACTGAAGTATGTGACTGTAAAATATCAATATAAAAACTTTAAGGTGTGTTGGTATCTTTCCATGGCAACAAAAAGCTATGCAATGAATAAGGATAACTGAGGGTACAACCTGGAATCCTGGTCCACCTTAATAGTAAAAGTAAAAGTTTATCATGGCATCACTTTAGAGCCTTTAAAAAAAGACTGTTTTTCCAAGTCCAGATCGGTTTTATTCTAATTAAGTTTAAGAACTCATTGGCTTGGTACCTTTTAGATTTGCACAGAATAAAGCAGAATATTCCATTGCACTCATTAACTCACTTATTGGCCAGAAGTGTCATTCTTAAAACCTGCTGGTTAGACATTACTGTTGGTGGTAGAAAGCACCACTCACCCTCTGTATTGGAGTTCCAGGTCTGATTTCTTCTTCATTCAACTCCCATGTCTCCATCCTGTTGGGTTCTGGAGTTTCTGCAGTGTGAGCATTGGATGTTTCCCCGAGGAGAAGGGGTGTAATGGTCACACCTCTGGCTTTAAGCTGTTTGTAGACGTTCCTGCTGGCTACCAGCATCTCCAGAGAGTTGCCACTTCTGCGAATTATTTTCACAACCTCAGCATGAGTGCTCTGCTCCACATTCTTCCCATTCACCTCTATCACAATGTCTTCATTCTCCAGACCAGCCTTGTCTGCTGCTCCACCCCTCACCACCTGAAACGAGGTGGACGTTATCAGTTTTATGTGGAGTCTTTTTCCCCCCAGTGGTTGTTCTTTGGTCTTACCTCTGTGATGTACTGGCCATGCATCCCGTCGATGCCATTTAGGTGAAAGCCATAGCCAGCAGGGGTCTTCCTCATCCTGCAGAGTTTTGGTCTCAGCTCCTCCTCTCTGTCCTTCATAGACATTGATGATTTTACAGGTGCAGGTAAGTTTAAAGCTTCATTGTAACTTGGTGGGGAATTGGAATCCTTCATCTCCTCCCAGAAAAGCATAGGAGACACTTTACCCTGTTTGGCATGGGACATAATATTATTATGCTATCAAAACCGTACACAATTTAGTTTAGTTTTATTAGGATCCCCATTAGCTGCCAAACAAATGGCCACTAATCTTCCTGGGGTCCTCAGGAATAAGCAAGCATGTTAAGGGTAAGTGTGCAGGTCACCTGCTTGTACATTTTGTCCGTGGCTTTGTCCACCACAAGGAAGCAGCATTTCCTGTCACTTTTCTTAATAAGGGCCACCACCTGGTCATGGCTGTAATTTTCCACCTCCTTTCCATTCACAGCGACAACTTTGTCCATTTCCTTCAAACCAGCTTTTTCTGCTGGGCTTCCTTTGTCTATTTCTCTTATGAAGTGCCCTGCAAACAATCACAGCATATGATGTTTAACCACAACCTCATCACTTTAGTGAAAGGTAAAGGTGATTCTTTTTAGCCTTGCCTGCTTGTTTAGCTTCCTCTCTGAGTAGGAATCCATATCCGTCCGATCCTTTGATCATATTAATGAATCGTGGCTGATGGGGGAGAAACTTAACCGTTGCTGACCATGATGCTATCTTTGCTTTTTTGTTGCGATAGAACCTCTCTGTTTCCTTGTCAACAAGCAGGAACATTGTGCTTTTCCCACCCAGTTTGATCTTTTCCACCACCTCGTCGTGTGTGAGGTTTTCTATGTTATCCCCGTTGACCTCCAGCAGACGATCTTCGTTTCTGACTCCAGCGTGTTCCGCTACTCCCCCTGCGAGCACCTCAGTCAAGAACAGCCCCTCCTCACCTGGTTCAACAAAGCAAAAATGATGCATAGATGAAATCCACAGAAAAAATTATTTGTTTGAAAGGTTGCAGAGTTTCCACTATGGACTGTTTTAGGTGAATAGTAAAATTTTTATGTTTTCTCAATACAGAAAGACAGCTAAAGATTCATGAGGATTTAAAAGGCCTTCAGTCACATTCAGTTTATTATCTAGCTTTTGTTTAAGCAACTTATTCTGTATATAATACAAAACTTATAAATAATGCTAAAAATATGCAAATATATAGATAAATTAAAAGCATATGAATTTTAACTTATATTCATACAGTAAATAAAATGACCTGATGAAGACCTAATGAGGGTCAATAGGATTCAAAGTCATGTTGATGCTCCTCAATCATTAAGTCTCTACAAAGGCTACCTTCAGCAGGTTTATTAAAACTTTTATTTTTTTATGTAAAAAAACCCCACTGCTCTGGTATTTTTTATTTTTATTCAAATTAATAATTTTAGCAGCTTTATACATCTTGAAAGAAAAGATTGATGATAAGATTTGCCGTGTGGGCCTTGAGTTTCTTGTGTCCTCTACACTATCAAAGGTGAATAAATCAAGATTGAATCTTTTTATATGAACCTAATATTAAACAACAAATGTGTTAAATTATTATTTAATAATTTTTTAAAGAAATAATTTTAAAACACATGAAAATTTGAAAGGCATTTCCAGCTTTTTTGAGTCAGGTAGTTCTGATCCTATCTGAGTTCTTCCAGCTCTGTTGCTAGGTAACCACACAGTCTTCATAAATGTTGTGATCAGTGGTCAGTCTGCAAAATTTTAGATACCCCTGAATACTATAGCAAGGAAAGTTCTGTTACGAATGATGGTGAAATTACACAATTCTACCATAATCAGAACCTTTGCTTTCTATTCACAAAGCTGATGACAAGTTCTACCCATTGTAGTTAATCTGGTTTCTCTGACATTAAAGACAAAAAATATGAAAAACAAAATTTGTCGATATAATTACAGAACAGAATTTGGTTCCAATCACAGGTTTTTGATAGACTTTTCAGCTTTTCCATAGTTACTAGCATCCCTGGTAACATTTTTAAAAATAAAACTTTGATTTGGGAAAATGTCCTTAGATTAAACACAAATTGAAAGCGAATATAGTTTTATTGACAGTGTTGGCATTTTGGAGAACGAATGATACTTTGCATACTTTTAATGTTCTCAAGACCTTTTGTGGAAACCTGGTGAGCCAAAGATGTCCTTCTTTGCTTCAGCTCTCTACTTTTTAAACATAGGAGAGTATTTTGCCTCCCTATCCATAGAGCAGGGTGTCAACATTAACTTGAACCCTCCTTCAGCCTCGGTGCCCCTTTGAAATTATCTATCACATTATTTTCATATCCCAGAGTAACACAAAATCCAGGAAAGGTAAGTTCCCAGAAACTCAGATATACTTTAAAAAAAAAATAAAATGATAACAAAACAATAACATGCAAGTGTGATATCTGTCTTATTTGAATTGCTATGGGTGTAAGTATGTGAAATAGGTGATTTTGTGTGAAAAAAAAATGTTTTAAACCGGAAACCTGTCCCCCAAATCAATGATTTTTTTTCTAAACCTGCCCTGAAACAAAACAGCTACAGGAAACAGGTAAACTGTCAGGCTTTTTACACATTATTGCCAAGAGTGCCATCTCTTAAGGGTACTGTAAATTTTCTCTTTTTCCTCAGTTGTCACTCAGTAAAGAGGTTCCACATCTTACCTTTTACTGAGCGAAGAGAAAACCCATATCCTGAGCTAGACTTGACCAAGTAGCAGAGTTTGGGTTTTGGAGTCTCTTTGGTTACTCTATTTGCAGCCGCTTTGGGGTCAGAAAGATTTACCCCCAAAGATTTTGCGCGCTTGTAAGCTGACTCATCCAGGATGTGAAATGTGACAGATGTTCCGCCACGCCTCACCAGCTCCACAACCTGTCCAAGAGAAATGCAGAAGAAAAAAAAATCAGTTAAAAAGACATTATCGATTAGATTTATGTACTGAAGTGTCTCTGAGGGCTTGCTCACCTCTGAGTGGGGCAGCCCATCAACAAATGTTCCATTGACCCGGAGAATGCGGTCTCCGTCTCTCATGCCAGCCAATTCAGCTGGACCTCCCATTTCCAGGCAGCGGATCAGGTGACCCTCCTCATTTTGTTCCACTCTCAGAAAGAAGCCGAATGTTTGACCTGGTTTCTTGGCCAGAGAAATCACCCTGGGCTTGAAGGTGGACATGTCTTTGGGTGGAGAAAAAGAATCACATAGTTTATCTAATCATTGTTCAGAACCAGAATCATGTTTATTGGCAAGTAGGTTTGCACTTACAAGGAATTTGACTTGGTGCAGACAGATATATATACAGAATATAGAATCTATAGCTATATACAAAATAAAACATACAATATACTATATATAGTGAGTTAATGTAACGCAGGAGGTCTTGAGATGCTACGTTTAAGCATTAAGGCACTTATTAAGAGGAGAGTAGAGGTTAGAATCATTAGTGCATATGCATTATTTTGCTTTGAAACTTTCTCTAAACTGCTGAACCTCATGCAATTAAAGAATATCAAAAATCTGAAATGTTTTTCTCAGTTGGTTTTTCAAACTTAAACAAATAAAAATGAAAAATCAGATGTATAATGCACATTCAGAATTATGAGTTTGGATATTTTTTTCGTATATTTAGATTTATATCAATTGTGTCACTACAGGAAAAATCTATTATGCTTGTTAAAAGCATCTATCAAACTATGCTGGGATTTATGTTAGGTTTATATTTGTGTTTGTTTTTTTCTGCCAGAAAAGAGAAATTTCCTAGTTTCCTAGAAAGAGAGAATTTCCTAGTTCTATGGAAAAGTATTGCAAATGATGACATTGTCTGGAAAAAGTAATAGTTTGTCCAAATGAAATAGGAGCAACATTAAGATTAGGACTGTAGATATGGGGGAAAAGCAAAAATCAAGACGTTTGTAATAGCATTATATCAAATTAGTCTTTCTGCACATGCTGAGTTAAATAAATACCTTTAAAAGGTATTTTTATTGTCCTCGTTCTTCTTGTGACTACTGTTAAACGTTATGTATAAACCCTGTAATCCACATAAAGAAGCCACAGATGTGCGGATGATTTCAAATGAGAAGTTAATCTTCTATTATCATCCTGCAGAGCTTGGTAATGATTAGTGGAACACACAGCTGACTTTAGACCATAAAGAAAATTGCAGATTTTGAGTACACGATAAGGACTGTCCCTTTTAATTTGTCTGTTTGCATGTTATTAAAACTTGGTCATAAAATAGATATACACGTGTACTGATGTCTCATCTTTTGGACATAGCGCACAGATTTTATAGAAAAAACACGAAACATTGCGAATGATCATCATTAAAACAACATCTCACACTTTTAAAGCTTTGTCAGCAAAGCTATAATGCTTAATTTTAGCTTGGCGTTCCCTGCATCCTGACTGGATACTTTGGGTTTATAAAAGATATAGAATGAATTTAGAGGATCCTGGTGGGATGCGGATATATTTGAACTACTCTCTGAAGGTTAGGGGAGTGTGGCCTAGTGGTTAGCACATTGTGCTTTGAATCCAAAGGTTCTGAATTTAAGCCCCACTCCCACGCACTGCCACTCTTGGTCCCTGAGCAAGACCCTTAACCCCACACTGCTCCCCGGGCGACGCACAATGGCAGCCCACTGCTCCCCAAGGGGATGGGTTAAATGCAGAGCTGAATTTCTCCAATGTGACATTAATAAAGCTCAGTTATTATTGTTATGTAACATTGCTTCCGCTTTCACTATGGATAGACGCATTCACTATGGTTGATAAATAAATCTCTGTTTAACTTTTATTGTTGTGACACCTAACATCAGAAACATCCTGTAGTAACTGTTTTGGTGTGGTCACCCGAAAGTGGGAAATTTGTTCTCTTTTTAATTGGCCTAAAGAGGTTTATAATCCACTTGTTCATTAAAAATGTTAGTCTCTGTAATCAGTAAGTTTGGAGCGAGCAGTTGTGGGATTTTTTCTTCTTCTTTTTGCTGTATTGTTCATTCTACATTTACATCATCACAGATTTTTGCTTTGCACGCTTTTAAATCTAACTGGCATTTTAACATTTACATGTTTTTGTCAATCTAAATTGTCCTTACATACATTTTATATCATTTTTTGTTATTTTTACGATTAAAGAAAGACATGCAAAAAATATTTGCCCATTTGCTTACCTGCTCGTCTCTGCCCGCCGTCCACTTCTAAAGCGGAGCTCACCTGTCACTGATTAGCTGTTATCGCATCTTATAGCTGCCCCCTCCCTCCTCTCCATCTCTCCTCTTGGACTTTGGCAGGTCAAAGGTGGGCCTAAAGGCTGAGTTATTTAACAGTGTCGCGTGTTAGGACAGTCTGGCTATGTGCAGCTTTTCATCAAGAGCAGTCATCTGTTCAGTGGTCAAAGGTACACACTGCAGGTAGCATTTTGGGCAATTATAGTAGACACAGTCAAAATAAAGCGGAAAGCATCCTGAGAATATTTGTATAGAACTGACAAAAGATTTGACTGTGAAAGCCTGTTGATCTTGATGTTTTAGGAGGTTTGAACTCCTAGGAGGGAACAACAGTGCCATTTCAACAACATTTCTATTTTTCACGGAAAAAAACTTATAGAATAACAATTATGCACATCTTAGACATGAGGTTTTCAGTCCTTAATGTTATCCCAATAGGTGTTTTCCTTAAAAAGTATTTGTCTATTTAAAAGGTTTAAAGAAACATCTTTATCCAATAATAAAAAAAAAAAAGATCCAATTACTGTGTTACTGTGTGCCAAGACAAAGCACTACTGTACTAATAACATTTTAAAAAAGTGAGCCTAAGGCTTATTTTTCCAGCACCTAACATATTGAGGATATTATAATGGAGGTGTCTTTGTTTTAAAATATTTGTGAAGATAAAAATTAAGATACATCTATCTGAAGGAGCCTTTCAGTAAACACACTCTGTTTTCTTTTATAGTCATATCATGAAGATGATGTTTAGGTTTATCCCAAAATTTTGCATTTTATAAAGAGTTTTTTTTGGAAACTCATTTCTAGAGCTGTTATTCTTAATAGCTTGTTGAGCTGTTTTAAGTCATTTGCTCTAATGTACAGATAATCACAGAAGAGATCCCATCCTCTGAAACACATTTGTAGAACATGTACTACATGTACTAAGGAGGGACCTAAAATTCTTCAAGAAGTCTGTTATCTCTGTTCTTGTAGAAAGCTTCACAGTTGCTGGATGATGGAAGTAATGTTTGACTTGTTCCTGTTTCTCTTAGAATTTAGTTATCTCTCTCTCTCTCATCTTAGAGCAACTTTTAAGTAAAAACATCAGTAACTTTTTTATTTTTTATTTTATTTGGGCTATAATTGGTGTGATTTAAAGCTTGCATAAAGTATTATATTTAGCTACAAATCTGCATTTTTTTTTTAAATCCATTAATTGAAGTTGGTTTCAATCTGATGATTTTAAACTAGGTGACATTTTTTAATTGACTCCAACCATATTTTTCTTCTTTTCTGTAAACTAAATAGGTAATCTTTTGTGTTTAAGTGGTAAGAACATTAAGTACTAAGTTAAACACCATTTGAAAAAGAAAAAGATTATGTTTTTTCATTGAATCATTGGAGCAATGGGTATTTCTAACTTAGATTTTGTAGTTGTTAAAATGCAGAATGTCACTTAGGTTTATTTGCAAGGTTAAAAAAGTCCACCCACCTTGGGCGTTGTCTCTAAAGTTTATGACAACCGTAGGCTTTAACTACAGAATAGTTATCAAGGCGTTACATTCATGTGCTAAGGACTGGACAAAGGTATAAAGTAAAACCAAGGAAAACAAATGAGCAAACTTTAAAAGTTAATGAGTCACTTTGATGCTTTCTGTTCAGGTGGAGAAATGGAAATCTCAGTAACATGAAAATGCAATACATTAGAGCAGAAAGTATCACTAATCTTGCCTGTTTTTTATGTTTTGTAACTTTGTCTAGATAACAAGCTGGATTTTTGACAAGGATATTGTTTAACAACCAAGAAAAAAAATACTTTACAGCTCAGCATAAAGGCCTACTTGAATAACCACTGTGGTCAAATCAGAGAGATGTCTTTTAACATATTCTTTTTTTTTTAACCCCATTTACAGCATATTTTATTTTTAACATATGGGTAACTATATTTCTAAATCTGTTTATGTACTACACCAACAGATAGTTAGATACAGATACAACATTTATAATGACATTTTGAGAAGATAGTTGAATATTGAAAAAAAATATCTAGAATAAGATTATGTTACTGCAAGAACCATGAATATATATATTAAGGTTTTTTATGCTGTTTTCTTCTGCTTTTCCAGACACGGCTTATAAATTTGGAGGGTGCTATAGATTTTAAAGATGGAAATTCCGTTTTGTCACTGAACTTGCATTAGTTGCAAAAAAACAGTTTTATTGTCTCTTTTTAGACTCTCTTATACATTTTATAGCCTTTTATCACAGGGATTAGCAATGCATATTGGGAGATATCCCTAAATGAAGGTGGAAAGATTGATAAAATCCATTACTTACTAGACATCAATTTTCCTTCAGCATCCTGCAAGAATATATATCAAATTACCCCTGCTCTCTTTCTATGTACTCTGCAGAAATAGTGAACAAAACCACCTCATTACGCATCACTCAGCTGTACTTACTATAAGATCAAAAGTGATTACTAAATGGTATTGCATTCAATCTGTTGTACAGCAAACAATAACAGTAAGGATAATGTCCTGATGATCTTTTAATATATTTTTCAAAGTTTTCTTTAACATCTAGTAATCTCTAAAACATTTACTCGTAGAGATTGCAGAACACAAAATACAATGCAGAAAAAAAGCACTATGATCATGATGCAATTTATCATTTCCAGCTTTATTACCACTTTAACTGAATATCAAATAACACATCTTTATGAACTAAATTAATAGAAAATATATAGATAGAAGCCCATGTATTTACAACCTAATAAACACTTTTATAGATTTAGTTTTAAACATTGGTATAGGCATTGACCTCAAAATAACACCTTGACAGTATTTCTTAATGGAAAATTATTTATATGGTTGAAGTCCAGGATTTTAATTTCAGTAAATATATTTTCAGTATAGGATTGAGTTTTAGGCTATTCGCTGAGTTTAATATTCGTCATATTTATTTCTTTCGAAAACCAGCTTCAATGCATTTTAATGTCATGAGAACAGCTGACAAAAAAAAATGAGTCAAATTTCAACCCACATAAACAAATGGTGCAAAAATGGATATAAAGATAATATAAAAATCTTGAAGTAAGTGTATTTGCTCCTTATTTGACATAGTAAGAAAAATTATCTGTCTATGGAAAGAAGATTTTGCCACCCTTTTTTTCTTATGTCATAAACCTCCAAAATCCAAGAGTCTTCTATTATATGATCACCTTTGAGTAACACAGCGAGGTGCTTTTGAACAAAACCACAATGACCCAAGCTTGAATACCTGCTTGAAAATCAATTTGCACTTTCTACACTCAAGTAGGGTTAACATAAACATATAATAAGAACCCAAAATCAACTCCTCTAAGTAAACTTGTTCCCACAAGCCAAACAACCACTTATGGACAAGTTATATAAATGTTTAATTATTAGAAGTCACAAAATATGATTTTTTTTCCTTAAATAAATTAATCATGTTTGATGGGTTGAATTGATGCTTATATATATAAAATGATGTGGTTTTAAATTCAAAGATAAACTTTTAAGGTAGCCAACCATGAAAAAGAGTCTTTTGTTGCCAGTAGAACCGTTGCATTGTACAACATGAGTAGAATAATGAAGAAAAAAGACCATCTACAAATTTTCCATCTTAACCTCAGTCTGACAGAGAGATAGTGGAAATGTTTTGATGTTCAAACAGGGCAAGGATCTCAAAAGCACCAATAGAGGTTTAAGAAGGGATAAAACATTAAGCTTGTGGAAAAGCCATGACCTAAACCCTATTTAAGATTTATGGACAATGCTTAAAAGCTGGGCTTATGGCAGGAAATCAATGAATATAAATAGACAACCATTTCTGAGAAGCGTGGTTAGAAATATAGCAGAAAATATGATAGGAACTTATTGATGGCCAGACCTTTCAACTGGCTAAAGGCATATCACCAAATACAGTATTAGTGGTTGTATGTGTAAATATTTGGCAGTTATTTATATTTCTGACCCAACATGGATTAGAGTTGGTTACTGAATAATGACACTACCATTAGAAGCTTGCTTAAATGAAAATTAAAAGATCCTAAGATTAACTGCATGCTGAAGATGAGTTTATGTAAGGTTATGACATTGCTAAATCTTAGGACAACAAAGTTAAAGGTGATTATGGTTTTCATCTCTCCCTAAGTTTTTGATCAAAAAATGTAACAAAACTTAAACCTAACTTTAGAGCCCAGGATTGGTTTTATATGTTAGACTCAACTCTGCTTTGAAAGATTAATAGTGTTTCACTTGTTAAAGATCAGAAAGTACAGTATGATTTTTGTTTTTTATCTCCAGTTCAAATCTCAGTTCTGGAAGCCTCTCTACATTGGATTTGCATATTTTTCCAAGTTTTTCATCTCTGCAGGATCTGAAGGCCTCCAGGACTCTGACGCATGAAGGGAAGATTGTGGCTGATCCCTCGTAACCCAGCCTAAAACTATTTCAGTCACTCCACTCTAGCAGGAGGTCGCGGTCCACCAAGACCAAAACCTCGAGCAACAAAAACTGTTTCTTCCAATCTGCTACCAGCCTTATCAGTAAGGTCAACAGACCCCTGTGGCATTCACACTGCCTCTCTCCCTTCCCCCAGTGTATATTGTATATGGCTTTATACTATATATTGTATATAGTATATTTTATATAGATATAGATTTTCTGTACATATCGAATTTGTCTGTACCATCAACACCAAGTTAAATTCCTTGTAAGTGCAAAGCTACTTGGCAATAAACCTAATTCTCCTTCTGAATCTGAGGTTTTCTCTCACATTCAACCTCCAGGTACTTAGTTATTCTTAACTGTATTTTTTGATTTATCCATTCTTGTATGTGAAAAAGTTTTTATAACGTACTGGCAACCTACAAAAACTGGTCTCTAAAGTGAGAGCTCAGGTAAACTGCATTGAAATAATCTAATAGCTGTCTAGACATGCTACATATGAATAAACTTCAGTAGGTTAGCAACAATATGTTATTATTTTTTATATTTGTGAAGTAACGGTCACTAGCTGTTTAAAAAATTCTTAATAGAATTTAAAGTAAACATTC